GCTATTCTCACAAAGCACCCGAAGGCAGGGCAAGTAGCAATGGGTGGAAACTAACCAAGGAGGGGAAGCAATCTGGAACTACCGAGGAATTGCCCGACAGTGAGAAGAATCAACCAGTTTTTTTTCCTCTCTTTTCAATTCCTGATCCTGCCATCATCCATTTGTCATAAATTGCAAATCGTGGGTCTTGCGTGCCCACAAAATATCCAATGCAGAAATTAAGCATCGGTGTTTGGCTCACAGCAAAAGCGAACTAGTCACCAATATTCCTACCCACAACTAAAAAAGCCATGGAAAACTGGGCACCACATAAATACCCCCCCCCCCCACAGAACACTCCAAAGCACACAGAGAGAGATTTCCTGAGGATGGGCTCCAGCATGTTCGAAAGCTGGAAAGAAACCTCTGGTCCCTGGGACCGACCCAGATCGGCTCTTGCAACGTTATAGAATAGAATAGAATATAGAGTAGAATAGAATTAAAGCAATAGAATAGAATATAGAATATAGAGTAGAGTAGAATAGAATTAAAGCAATAGAATATAGAATAGAATAGAATATAGAATAGAACAGTATAGAATAGAATATAGAATAGAATAGAATATAGAGTAGAGTAGAATAGAATTAAAGCAATAGAATATAGAATAGAATAGAATATAGAATAGAACAGTATAGAATAGAATATAGAATAGAATAGAATATAGAGTAGAGTAGAATAGAATTAAAGCAATAGAATAGAATATAGAATAGAATATAGAGTAGAATAGAATAGAATTAAAGCAATAGAATAGAATATAGAATAGAATATAATATAGAGTAGAATAGAGTAGAATCGAATTAAAGCAATAGAATAGAATATAGAATAAAATATAGAGTAGAGTAGAGTAGAATAGAATTAAAGCAATAGAATAGAATATAGAATAGAATATAGAGTAGAATAGAGTAGAATAGAATTAAAGCAATAGAATAGAATATAGAATAAAATATAGAGTAGAGTAGAGTAGAATAGAATTAAAGCAATAGAATAGAATATAGAATAGAATAGAATATAGAGTAGAATAGAGTAGAATAGAATTAAAGCAATAGAATAGAATATAGAATAAAATATAGAGTAGAGTAGAGTAGAATAGAATTAAAGCAATAGAAT